AAGAATCAACAAATGGAATCACATCAAATTAAAAGGCTTCTGTAGCTGGGCGTGGTGGTGCACGCCTGTAATCCCAGCATTCAGGAGGCTGAGGCAGGAGAATCTCTGAGACCAGCCTGGGCTACATAGTGAATTCCAGGTCAGTCTCAACTACATAGTGAGACCCTGTCTCAAAAAACCAAAAAACAAACAAAAAAAAAACAAACAAGCAAAAAAAAAAAAAGTCTTCTGTAAACAAAGGAGACAGAGTAAAGAGACAACCTACAGAATGGGAAAATTTTTTTGCCAGTTATTCCTCAGACAGAAGATTAATATCTAGAATACATAAAGAACTCAAAATAATTAGACTCCACCAAATAAAAGACCCAATCAAAAAATGGAAAACTGAGGGTCAGGGGTGTGGCTTAGAGGTACAGTGCCTGCTTAGCACACACAAGGCCCTGGGTTTAAACCCCAGCACCACCAAAAACAAAGCCAAAAAAAGAAAGAAGTAGAAAGACAAGGAGGAATAGGAGGAAGAGGAAGAGGAAGAGGCAGAGGCAGAGGAGGAAGGAGAAGAGGAAAATGAGGGAGTGAACTGAATAGACACTCCTCAGAGGAAGTACAAATGATCAATAAATACACCAAAAAAATCGAACATCTCAGCGCATTACAGAAATTCATATTAAAACAACATTGAGAAAAAACAAAAAACAAAAAACAACCCTGAGGTTATATTTTTTTTTTTTTTCTTTTTTGGTACCAGGGATGGAACTTGGAACCTTGTGAGGTAGGCTTAGCACCTCTGAGCCAAATCCCCTGCCTTTACAAACCTATCTTTATAGCAACACAATTCATAACAGCTAAAGCTTCAAAAGGGGCCTTATATGTCCATCAATAGATGAAAGGATAAAGAAAATGTGGTTTTTATGCACAAGAGTATTACTCTGCTATAAAGAAGGATACATATGAGTCACTTGCAGGAAAATGGATGCACCTTGAGACCATAATATTAAGTGAAATAAATAAAAAAAAAATTGGGGGGGCAGGGTCTCACTATGTAGTTGAGACTGACCTGGAACTCACTATGTAGTCCAGGCTGGTCTCAAACTCACAGTTATCCTCCTGCCTCAGTCTCCCCAGTGCTGGGATTACAGGTATGCGTCACCAACCCCAGCCCAATAAATCAGATTCTAAAGCTTAAAGATTGCGTGGCTTCCCTTCTGTTAGAAATCCAAAGTGGGCTGGGGATTTAGCTCAGTGGTTCTGGCTCCTGCCTCGCAAGTGCAAGGGCCTGAGTTCAATCCCAGATACAAAAAAAAAGAAAAGAAAAGAAATCCAAAGTATAAATAAAGAGCAAATTAATAAAATAGGAAACAGGGACATCAATCTTTTGCAAATGCTAAGAGGACCAAGAGATGGGAGGAGACAGGTAGAAAGGGGACATACAAAGAATTAAGATGTGTGATGTGCATGTATCAACGCGCACTTGTGCGTGCACGCGTGCGCGCGCGTGCACACACACACACACACACACACACACACCCCAAAAGTCAAAACCCCCAAATTCTAGTTACTGTCTCATTTTATAGTTCTAATTGGGTGGGTAGGTTGGTGGGTGGGGGTTTTTCAGGGCTGCCTTGTGAAGCTCACTTGGAAAAGAGCTAGGTTATGGAAGACTGTCTAACAGGGAAGGCTAGGGCTCCAGAAGCAGGAAGACATGTGTGGTATATGAGGCAGAAAGGAAATTGATGTATTTGGGAGACAGGCCACCCCCATGGGCCTTAAGTGGGAGTAGGAAAGAGGAGTGAATTCACACTTCACCACACTACTGTGAGTGATGGCATGAGGTGGCACAGGTGCTCTCTCAGGGCAAAAGGTATGCTTCAGACTATAAGAAACTAACACTCAGCAGGGCTATTCCAACCCTCCCTTCTGGTATAAATCAGAGGAATTAACAGGCTCATCTCAGGACCTCCATAGTTCAAACACAACTCCAAAATCCTCCAGTCAGCCATTGAGTTATTTTTCATTACACACTGAAAATCAGATGTTGTTCTTAATTTGAAAAATTAGATATTTTTTAATTTAAAAATTAAAAAAAAGTTTTTTTTTTTTTTTGTACCAGGGATTGAACTCAGGTCCTTGCGCTTGCCAGGCAGGCAGTGGAACCACTGAGGTAAACCCCTGGCTTCTAAAAACAGGGCTGGGGATTTAGCTCAGTGGTTCTGCTGCCTGCCTCACAAGGACCTGAGTTTGACTCCCAGTACCAAAAATAAATTTTTAAAAATAGTGGTTAAAAGGAGCTGAGAATGTAGCTGTCCTATAGCACTTGCCTAGAATACATGAAGCCGAGTTGGATCCTTAGTACCACATAAGAAAAAAAAAAGTTGTGGTTAAATACATACAGTTTTGTTTTTTGTTGTTGTTGTTGTTGTTCTAGTTCTGGTGTTTGAATCCAGGGGCATTCTGCCTTTGAGAAAGGGTCTCATGTAGCCGTGGAGGACCTAGAATTCATGATCCTCCTGTATCAGCCTCCTGAGTGTTGGGATCATCAGGCACAGGCTCACCCCTTTCTATATCCTTATTTTGAGACAGTGTCTTGCTAAAATTGCCCAGGCTGGGCTTAAGCTTACAATTGTCTGCATCAGCCCCTTAGCCATTTTTAAGTGTACCATTCAGTAGTGCTACACTCCCACTGCTGTTCAACTGATCTCCAGAACTCTTTTCATTTTCCACAAGTGAACTTCCACACCCTTTAAAAATGAAGGCAACTTTAGTTGGTAAGATCAACAAATCATCAGTGTGAATTTGAGATGTGTCTTCAAATATCTGTAAAGCAACCAGAAGTACTCACTTATAATGTTGAGGTCCCAGAAGAACCAGTGATGCGATGCCATACAAACCACCCATGATGGCATTCTTTTTTTTTTTTTTTTAATATTCCCATACTTTTTTTCTCTACAAGGTCTGACTCTACACTTCAGGTTGGCCTTTAATTCACTATGTAGCCCAGGATGGCCTTAAATTCCCAGTGGTCCTCCTGCCTCAACCTCTGTACTGGGATTACAGGAATGTGTCACCGTGCCTGGATTTTTTTTTTTTTTTTTTTTTTTTTTTTGCGAGGCAGGCAACGGAACCACTGAGCCAAATCCCTGGTCCATATTTTTTAAATTTGGGGACAAGGTCTTCCTAAATTGTTACGTTATCCAGGCTGTGCTGGAATTTGTAATCCTTTTGCTTCAGCATCCCAAAGCTCTGGGATTACAAGCGTGCACTCCCAAACCCGACTAATGGAAGTTTTGAAAACTTCATTAAAGTTCATCAAAGACAAAACCCAAATAGCTTTATTAAGCTTTGTCATGTTTCATCTTGGTGTTGGCTCTAGCTATGCCAAGAACCAATGCCGTTCTGGGTAGGTACCAGGACGGCTTCTTGATTGGCTGGCTTCCTGTTACCCCCAGGACGTCACTGTCACCCAGGGCTCCGACTTTAGCCACGTACGGTCACCCACACCCACACTGCCCTCCATCCCCAACGCGCCACTTGCCCGGCGCTTCCCCAGGGGCCTGGCACAACTCCACCGTCCTCTCGCCCCGTCCCCGCCCTTCCCCAGCAGCCGGATCCTCTCAGCCACATGCCGTTCATTCCCCCACACCACGTGTCCCGCAGGGTCTCGGTCAGGGGTGTCCTAACACAAGCCGCCGAAAGGGAGGCCTCGGCCTGGTTCTGCCCCCTCGAGGCCGGGGTACCGAGTCTGGATGGAGCAGCTCACAGCCAGAGACCACGGGGTAATTTCGGGGGTGGAAGGGCCCAGGCATGAACTCGGAACTCACCCAACGAGACGACAGTTGCGCGCGCCGCTGCCTCCGAGAACCAACCAATCAGTTGCACGGTTTGGGGGAACGCCCAATCAGTTGACCAGGAGGGCCGGGCCCGCCTCCTAGGCTGGTTTAGCTTTGCGGTTTCCGGATCCTTCGACCCACCCCCCACCCACGGTGAATGTCGGAAGGGGCTTTGCCTCCTGCCACTACTTCCGCCCTTCATGGGTGGGACTTTTCCAGTCAATTGAGGCGGGGACCTGCTTTGGTGTTGTCCCGGACTTTCCAGCGGAGCGAGCTAGACCAATGTCTCACTCTTAAGGCTCCTCTCACCAACAGGAGGAGCCGCGATCTTTTGTCTGAAAGTTCCCACCTCTCCATGTCCAGCGTCTACTGCCTCCCTGTGCATGTGCTTTCATCTGAGTAATGCCAGTGGCCTGTGTGACTCCCGTTACACCCCAAGTTTCAGACTATTAGACGTTCCCTCTGTATTCGCCCTTACAATCAATCACAGCCCCTTGATGGGCTGGGAGTTTCTCTTCTCTACTCTGCTGTGGCTTGGCTTTCCACTCAAGTAGCCAGCAGCCAGCCCATGGATGGCACTGTGAATTGCAGGTGAAAAAGCGATTGAATTAGTACAGGCTGGGGCTCAGCGGCAGAGATTTAAGAGTCCCCATAAAACTGGTACAACCTCTTCAGGACAGGACTGAGATGTAAAAAATATGGATGGCTATTTATTGGATTCCTATGTGGATGGTCAGAACTGCACAGAAAAGGACAAGACCTCCAAGCACTGGAGGAAAAAGACTGAAATAGAGGGGGAAAGCCCCTAAATTCACATACCAAGGTTCAGGGGAAAGGTTCTGGTCCTTCACTCATATCCAACAGAGTAACATATCACTGGGAAGAAACAAACAGCAGCTGGAGGCAAGGTGTGGTGGTACAGGCCTGTAATCCCAGCACTCAGGGTGCTGAGGCAGTAAGATACCAGTGAATTCAGGCCAGTTTGAACTGCTGAGCAAGACCCTGTGCAAAAAGCCAAAATAGCCAGGTGTGGTGGCACATGTCTGTAATCCTAGCACTTCGGAGGGCTGAGGTGGGATTGCTTCAAGTTTGAGGCCAGCCTGATCTGCATAGTGAGACCCTGTCTCTTTACATTAAGACACACTGTTATTAATCTCCCTCAAAATTCTTCCCCTTGCTTAGAACACACTTATCATTGCATCTTTCTGATGAGATGTTGCATTAAAGGTGGTATGACCATAGACTCTACTTTTTTTTTCCTTTGTTTTGAGACAGGGTCTTGCTAGGTAGCCCAGGCTGACCTCGAGCTCACAGCAATCCTCTTCTCATAGACTCCCAAATGCTGGGTTATAGGCAGGCACCACCATGTCTGGCTCTTGCCACTTTTTGAAGCAGTTCTTGAAGTCCTCTTTTATGAGGTGTAATAAAAAAATATATAGTGACTGATGCCACCAACTACCATGCAATGGAAAAGTAAGCTTGCAAAAGCATAATGGCATGTCCTCATGTACTTTATTCACCAGATCTGGCATCATAAGACTTCTGGCTCTTCCCCAAAGTCAACTATGAAAGGTAAATGTTTTGGTTCAAGACATCACGGTGAGGCAGCCATGACAGCAAAACTAAAGATAGCAACTGCTTCAGAAAGTGGTGAAAGCAATGGAATGTGTTCAAAACAATTAAGATTAACTTGCAATGTGTTTCTTTTTTTTGGTACTGGGGATTGAACTCAGGACTTGTGCTTGTGAAACAGGCAGCAGAACCACTGAGCGAAATCCCTGGCCCAATGTGTTTCTTACTGTAATAAAATTTGTTTCATTTAAACACACAGCATATTTCCCTCCTAGCCTGGGACTGAGCTATCATACCTCCTAGCCTGGTATTGATCTCTCCTCCCTTCCAGGGCTACTCCCCTGGCTTGCTAAACCCCATACACTCAGCTGGTGACCAATGTGGTTGGTTAGATTTCCACCTTTAAGCCCCTCATAGGCAGACACTGTGCAGGCAGGGAGGGGCAGAAGGCCTCAGGTGAACTGTAGGCTGGAACTGCTTTCCCTGTAATGTCCCAGCTCTGGCTGCTCTTCCAGATTTGTTTTGTTTTGTTTTGGTACCAGGGATGGAACTCTGGTCCTTGTACTTGCAAGGCAGGCGGCGGCACCACTGAGCTAAATCCCCAGCCCTGCTCTTCCAGTTTTGATTCTCCTGACCCATGTTAGTCACTTGGAGCTCACTAGACTGGGGCCGGCTCCCATCCATTTGGTGATGTAACTTTACTTGAGGGTTTTGCGATTTAAAGGTGGAGTTTTTATTCTGGTGAACAGGTGCTAAACATCTTGCACAAATAGAGAAGTAGAGAGGCATGCTTGTTACTTCTCTTGGTCCTCAAATCTTACTTCTTAGTCCTGGCTCCTCCTCCTCCTCTAGGTTGGTTTCTTAGGATCCCTAAGGCAGGGATTTTAGTACATGTGATTTACCCAGAGAGTGCGCTGGGCAGGTAAAATCTCCTTTGAGAGACAAGGGAAGCAGGATAGGGAAGAGGAAAGATGGAAGTAAGGGTGTGGTTTCAGGTTAAAATCCAGGCAGCAGTTTGGCTATGTAGCACTGCCTTGAGGCGGAGGACTCAGTCATGCATACACGTGTGTTCATGTGTGTGCAGTACCTTGATTGAACCCAAGGCCTTTGCACTGAGCTACATCCCAGCCCTTTCTTATTTTTGAGACAAAATCATGCTAAATTGCTACGTTTCCCAAGCTGCACTTGAATTTTTGATCCTTCAGTCTCAGGCTCCAAGAGTATTAGGATTATAGGTGTGCACCACCAACCCCAGCTGGACTTGGCCTTTCGTTCATTCAATGCAGGGTAAATGATGTGACCTGTTAGATGTTGAGGTTCAAGGAAGGGCGGTCAGTTCTTCAAAGAAGGGTGACCAGTCAGGGATTTAGTTCAGTGGCACTGCAATGGTCCTGCCTTGCAAGCCCAAGGTCCTGAGTTTGATCCGTGGTACCAAAAAATAATTAAATAAAAATAAAAATAAAGAAGGGTGACCAACAGGGATAGCATCCACACCCAAGGCATTCTCTGCATTTCTATTTTGGTCTGATGAAAGAGCTAAGCTCTAAATTCTTACAATTTGCCAGGAGCTCATCTAAGCACTTTGTAGGAACTAATTTAATCCTCTTCTCCTCCATGTTTGGGATTGAAGCAGGTCCTTGTGCATGCTAGGCAAGTACTTTACCACTCAATTGCATCTCCAGCCCATTTATTTTGAGATGGTCTAAGCTGCCTCAGGCTGTCCTTAAACTTGTGATCTTCCTGTCTCAGCCTACAAGTAGCTGGAATTACAGGGGTATGCCACTATGTCCAAATAATCCTCTTCAATTTTTAGTTTATCACTATCTTTTTTCCTCCCATCTTTTTCACTTTTTGTTCTGTTTTGCTTTTCTTCCTGCAGTGTTGGGATTGAGCCCAAGCCCTTGTGTGCTGTGACCCACACAGAGTAGGGTCCAAAGCCAGGAAGGTGGTGGGAGATGAAGAATATTGGAAAATAAGGATACCTACCAAAATTATGCTTTATAACTGGGGCCAGGTAGGACCATAGCCTGATGAGCTAACAGCTGCCTGGCATCCAGTGCACACTTTATTTATAGTGTAGGAAGGCGGGGTAACTAGTGCCACGTGGCCTACACTGAATGTCATTATCTTGTGATGGGGCATGCACAGAAAAGGAACAAGGGGGCCGGGGACTTGGCTCAGTGGTTCTGCCACCTGCCTCATAAGTGCAAGGGCATGAGTTCGATACCCGGTACCAAAAAAAGGAACAAGAACACAGAATGTAACTGTCTCCTGGGGCTGTGCCATCCAGGATCTAGTCTATGGAAGAGAAAGGGAGTAGAGATTAGGCAAAAGGCCATCTTCAGGCTCACCCCCAGCACTTGCTCAACCACTGAGTTACATTGCTAAGCCCCATTTTTTTTTTTTTTTTGGTACGGGGATTTGAACTCAGACCTTGTGCTTATGAGGCAGGCAGTGGAACCACTGAGCTAAATTCCCGGCCCCCTAAACCCAATTTTTTAAGCCCCAATGTATAGTTACAGACAAGGTGGTGTGTGCTCATAATTGAAGCACTCTGGGAGGCTCAAACAGAAGAACTGCAAGTTTTCTGGGCAATTTAGTAATTTAGAGATCCTCTCACAATATAAATAATAAAGGACTGGGGATATAGCTGGGTGCAAAGGACTTGGCTTCAATCACTGGTATCGAGGGGAAAAAGTTTATAAGAAGTCATTTTCACATCTTCCCCCACAGAGAAAAAACCTTTTCTAAAGAATCTTGTATTTACCTCTCAATCTCTAGACCCAGTTTCTTTTTTGTTTGTTTTTATTTTTTATTTTTCTGAGACAGAGTCTTGCTATGTAGTTCAGGCTGGCCTTGAACTCGAGTCGATCCTCCTGCCTCAGCTTCCAGAGTGCTGGGATTACAGGAGTATGATACCATGCATGGTTTTTAAAAATTTTGTCATACATATTGATCACACTTAAAACAGGAAATTTGTACCTGTACATGACTTGTCTTAAATCTTTTTTCTCATTCCCTTCTCCTCCCTTCAACCTTTTTTTCCCCCCTCTCCATTTACAAATGCTTTTTTTTTTTTCAGTACTGGGGATCCAACTCAGGACCTTGCACTTGTGAGGCAGATGGTGACACTGAACTAAATCCCTGCGCCCCCTTCTTTTTTCAAAGAAAAATTTAAAACTCATTTATTCTGGGTCAAATAGAAGCAACCATGGCATGGGAACAAGACTCAAGTGACCTTGAGTGATATGCTCCAAAGCAGAAGAGGTTTAAGGTTTTATAGACACAAAGTTTTATAGATCAAGAACAAAGAAAATTGTAAATCAGTGTATGCCCAGCACTAGAGCACAAGGTAGGCAGTCGCAAGAGCAGGGCAATCTCTCCTTGTACTCAAAAGTCCTGTTCCTGGCAGGGTGGTGGATGGCCACTAGGGGCCTGTGTTCCATCAAGCTGCAGTACAAACATTAACCAAACTCCAGAGGCAAGAGGTCAGGCGCAAAGCTTAGCCACATGCAGCTATGTTCATAAAGTGCCTGAGACAGCAGAGATCATTCTGGCTCCGGGTATCAGCACTTCCACTGCTCACAAGCAGGAACCAGGGCTGCTGTCCTCCTCTGCAGAGGTCAGACTGATTATAGGGGAAACCCATATAACTTCCAACCTGCTAGATGTCAGATACAGTGAGTTCCTATTCCCCGAAATAATAAATTCTAAGGAACAACAGAGGCTAAGAGTAGGAAAGTTTATGGAGAACAGGAATGGGGAATAGGGTTAGCTACTAAGAGACAAGAGGGGTCCCGAATGGGTTACCCTACAAAAACTTTGTAAAAATTTCCATTTTTCCTTTTTTGATACCAGGGATTGAACTCGGATCCTTGCACTTGCAAGGCAGGCAACAGAACCACTGAGCTAAATAATCCCCAGCCCATTTTTTTTCCTTTTCCATTCTTTCCCTTCCCTCTCTACCCTTTCTTGGTCCCCTTTCCATTTGAATATGTTCTTCCTATTTCCCAGTAAGTATGCTCCATTATGCTCATTATTTACCCTTTGAGTTTCTCACACAAGAGAAACAATGTGACATTTAAACATGTATCTTCTTTATTTCACATAAAATTATGGTCTCAAAGGGCATCCATTTACCTACAAATGACTCAAGTTTAATCCCTTATTTCATAGTACTTCAGTGTACATAAATACATTTTCTTTTTTCATTTGCTAATGGGTATATGGGCTGTTTCCAAGATTTAGCTATTATGAATTGTGCTGCTATAAACATGGAAGATATGTATCTCTATCTCTGTGGTATGATTTTATGCTTTAAACTCAGGAAGACACTACATCCGTTTCTTGGAAAACAAGGTAAACAGGTTGTATCTGCTTGGATCACAGGTACAGGTTCCAACTGCCCCAAAGGCATCCATCTAGCTGCTTTGCCTTGCGAGGTGTGGTGAGCAGAGGTCCAGGAAGAGGGGTCCAGCCTCCTGGAGCCACCTTGCTCCTCCCTGAGATCCACACACCTGGATGCTCTCAGAGTGCCCCTTCAAACACGCAGACTGTGCCCAGACACCAGAGCTGGGCACTGGGGTCTCCCCTCCATTACTGAGCAGATAGTACTGAAAAGAACACTGCTTTTGAAGTCACAGGATCCTGGATTTAAATTCTGGAATCAGATGAGCTCTTGTCCCATTGTTTCCCGAACTGGAAAATATAGATAATTCCACTTACCTTGCACAGTTGGTGGGAAGGGTAAATGCAGCCTCTTCCCTAAAGCTTTCTCAGTTCCATGCTTGCTACCCACTCAATAGTTACACAGCACCTTGTCAAGACCAGACTGCCTGGTGCTGCTGCTGCTTTTCCTTGCTACTTGGGAAACTTAAGCTCTTTTGTTTGTTTTTTGTTTTTGTTTTTTTTGAGACAGAGTCTCATTATGCAGTTCAGGCTGCCCTTAAACTCACTCTGTAGCCCAGGTTGGACTCTTTTTTTTTTTTTGGGTACCAGAGGCGAACTCAGGTCTTTGTGCTTGCTGTGAGGGAGGCAGCGAAATCACTGAACTAAATCTCCGGCCCCCAGGCTGGACTCTTAACAGTTATGATCCTCCTGCCTCAGCCTCCTGAGTACTAGGATTATAGGCATACACCACCAGGCCCAGAGGAAATTTAAATGCTGAGATCTAAACTCTGACACACACCCCTAAGGGCTGGCTGGGCAGACACCGAGTCTCGAAAATGGGACTTGATCCTAGTCCACCACTAACTGGCAATACAATAACTGAGTAATTTCACCTATCTCTGCCTTGATTCCCTCATCTGAAAAGTGGAGAATAACTGGATTCCCTACTTCTTAGAATTGTTGGAGAGGTCACATAGGTTAATATAGGCAAGACACTTGCAACTGTGCCCAAGATACAGAAGCATTTGCCATTATTACCTGTCGTCTCTCATTTCTACACCAAATGCTGCCTCATACATGGGGAAGCAGAGAAATTGTATCTAAAAGCCAATTCACTGGCCAAGGCATTCTAGTCTCCCTTTTTATTTGTGGTAACGGGGTTGAACTCAGGGCCTTCACATTAATCTACATCCCAGCCCCCTTTTTTTTTTATTTTCAAGACAAGGTCTTGCAATATTGCTACGAGGCTGGGCTCAAACTTGCCATCCTCCTGCATCAATCTGCTAAGCTTACAGATGTGTACCATTGTTTGGGGTTTGTAGAACTCTAGCATAAAACTTGATAATCTCCCTACCCTTCCTTCTTATTCTCTCCCACCTTTTGTGTGTTGGGGGAGGATTGAATCCGGCTCCCACATGCCAAGTACACGGCTCTACCACTGAGCTACATCCGCTGCTCCTCTACCACTTCTAAGAACATGTTTCCAGGAACCTCCTGGGCCACTTCTAACCACTAGATGGCCAAGGTGTAAGGAGATTATTTCTTTAGGCAAGCAAACAGCCCTCTAATACAGTATTTATGGGACTAGACTTATCAATAGGAAGTCCTGCAGAGAAGAGCTTTGCCAAAACACTCATTCCGAGAAAAGAATTGATAAAGGGACAAATTTGTTCAGCCCTGTACAACATCCTGCAGCCTCCCCACGTGGTTCCTGTGGCAAACCTCACCCACAGAGGGGTCACCGCTGATCGCACTATACCTGTCTAGGTTTCTGAGCCGGGACATGACCTTCTGTAAGAAAACCAGACAGACAAAATCTGCATTTACGAAGAGAATGGGCCATTTATTGGTGTCAGGAAAGCGTTCCTTTATTTATTATTTATTTATTGATTGATTGATTGATTGATTGAGACAGGGTCTCACTATATAATTGAGACTGACCTGGAACTCACCATGTAGCCCAGGCTGGTCTCGAATTCACAGCGATTCTCCTGCCTCAACCTCCTGAGTGCTGGGATTATAGGCATGCACCAGCACGCCCGGTGTGGAAAGTGTTCCTTTAAATGGGAGAAACCTGAAACTTGGGCCCAAACTCTCCACAGCTTTTACTCACGATCAGAAGCAAATATTCGAATTAAATAAATTGAAGAAATTAGTTCTGCTACAAGACGATAAAGAACAGGAGAGTGATGTTCCTGCTTTTACACTGCAGTCTTCTGGTACCACCAGACAATCTCCAGGGTGGAACAAAACAGCTTCCCACGGTCTCAAAGCACTGTCATTTAATTGCCAGTAGTCAAGTTCTAAGAAAATTTCCTGGAGAACAGGAGTGACCCTCCCCACCTCGGCTGTGACCTGCAGTTGAAAAGCCAACTTCCTGATAATCTGCAACTGGGTGACGCCTGTCGAGAGCACTCTCAGACCGCCAACGTCAGGTCTCAGTTTCCCGGCTGGAAGAGGCAGCTGGAGCGACAGCAAGATCCGCTAGGCATCCAGATCAAAGTCATCGCGCTCCTCATTGTACTCCAGCACGTGTCGCTTGATCTTGGACGAGTCAACCCAGGTGACAAAGTCCTCCATACTGCGGGTGACAAGGAAGGCGGGGTCAGTTACCACGTCCGGGCCCACGCGCACGTGGCCCTGCTCCACAAATGTCACCGCAGCCTGGAGATGCTGAGCCATGCGCAGCTTAAGGAGCACGGTGGGCAGGCGGCGGCGGCAGAAGGACGAGGCCGTGACGAAATCGCAGAGCTCTAGCGAGCCGCGCGTGGGCACCAAGCCCAGAGCGTAGAGCTTGTTCAGCAGAGCGGCGGAGGCACGCACGCGGAACGGGTCGCGCTCTGGAAGGTCGCGCAGGCGCCGCGCCAGCTCGCGCACGGCCCGACTCAGCTGGTTGTACCGCGTGTAGTCCTCGCGCCGCTGCAGCCCGTAGCGCCGCAGCACTCGCAGTTCGTGGAGGTTGTGGTCGGTGACCTCCCAGTTCAGGAAGTCCACCTGTTTCAGCAACTTCTGCTCGTGGAACTTCAGCTTCCGCACCATGATGGCGGCGGCCGAGGATGCGCTATCCGAAGCTGTAGGGGCTTCCAGAGCCGCGCGACTTCCGCCCCTGCAAGCGAACTGGGCGTGCCTGGGGAGCCTGGACCAATGAAAGAATAGCATATAACCACGCCCCTCTCTTCTATTGGCAAAGTGGGACCATACCCCGTCTATGTCTCGCGTTCCTTTCTTACTTCCTGTTCGTAGGTGGAGGAGGAAGAGGCCGGACTTGCCAGCTATCTAGTCCTGAGGCTTCCTGGCACGTTTCCTAGTAACGAGAAAGCGTCCTGTAGTGCAGTGGTTACTTTGCTTTAGAGCTCGGCCTTTTGGGGACTTTCAGGACAGTCTCCCCCTGAAGAGGTGAAGGAGCTATTCCCGGGGAAAAGGAGTGACTGCCGTGCACCGTCGATCGGGGTTACCATGCCAGTGGGCTTTTGGGCTCTTTCCCGCCGAAGACCTTTCTTAGGCCGAGGTCCCAGGGCTGGTCTAGGGGTTCAGTCTCCTGCCACGTCAGGTCTCCAACCCAGGCGAAGCAATTTCTCCTGCCAGTGAGGCTGGGCGACCTGATGATTCCCGGGCCGCTGCATACATTACAGAATCGGCTAGGAAACCCTCTGGAAATTTTTGTTTCTCAGACAGGGTCTCACTATGTACCCCAGGCTATCCTTAAACTGTGTACCCCAGGCTGGCCTCGAATTCCTGGCCGTAGTGCTGAGGTTGCAGGAGTGCACCACCATCCCCGTCTGGATATATTTTTCTTCTTTTTTGGCGGGGGAGGTACCGGAGATTGAACTTGGGACCTTGTTCTTAGGTCAGCTGAACCACTGAACTGAATTCCTGGACCCCGTCTGGAAATATTTTTGATTTTTTTTTTTTCGGTTCGACCCAGAAGCAAGACCTCGAACATGCTAGGCAAGTGCTGTCCCCAACTGAACTACATTCCCTGCCCTAAAGATAGGTATTTTAAACAAAGCAGTCACGTGACTCATGACATCCAGCGAATTTGAGAAATTTGGGACTGTACGTACAAGCCTTTAGTCTGGGCTCAAACGTATTAGCCCGATGAAGGTGGATTTTTGGACAGTGAGCACCGAACGCTGCTTAGACTAGTCAGATTTGTAAAAATCTTAAGTGAGTGCTGTGCTTCCGGATGGATATGTTTTTTAGCCAGGACTTTGACGCCACCTAGCTTCTTCGAGGATTTTTAAAAAATGTTTTTGTCTTTTTAAGTAGAGTGTTTGTGTAAGACTTGAATAGGCTAAAGTGACTCCATGCTAATAGGCCAGACTGTGCTTCTTCATATGCTAATTGCTACCTTGGTTAACAGCCCACCCAGGGGCAAATGGTTTGACAAAAGGTGACCCTAGAACATTTCCTGCATAAGATAAGCAATGTGTTTGCAGTCTTGTTCTGTGAATTCCCTGACTCTTTGTTTAGAAAAACCTTATAAAAGGTACCTCAGCCCCTGAGCAGTTGCCTCTCTGAGCCACCTGGCTCCGGGAGTGCCGTCTGGCCAGACTAATAAAGGTCTCTTTACCATCTAGCCTGGTGTGTTCCTTCCTGGGTTTCTCGGTTCTCTGTCGTGTTCGCGGAGCCTCGCTGGGTGTTAGGGCCCAGCATCGTGGAGGCCTTTCGGCTGTTCACGCTCCGTGGAGTGGAAGTGAGACTTTAGGTCTTACATTTTGGAGGCCCCAGCGAGATACCCAGGCGGGAACTGTAAATCCGGCCGAGATTCTCTGTTGCGGGATCCAGCAGGAGATTCTCAGACACAGACCTTTGAAAGCCTCCGGAGGTAAGCTTTGTGCTGGCGGTTGCAACTGTCTTGTTTGTCAGGATCGAGGTGGCTGACGAGCCGGGAAATCTCCCCTGACCCCGGCCCTGACGAGGACTCCGGGTAGTAGAATCAAAGCTTTTCTTTTTGTGTGGCGCCTGTCTGTCTTGTCAGTGTCTCATCTGTTGAGTGTTAAACTAAATTTGTTCCTAGGGACAAGATGGGAGCATCCAGCTCCAAGACCACCCCAATGGATTGCTTTCTAACTAATTTTAAAATTGTTTTTTATCCCTGAGCAGAAGGATGATTACGGGATTAAATTCTCTCATGGAAAGCTTCGCTCCCTGTGTCAATCCGAGTCCCACCTGAGCAAGCGACTGTCTGCCTCCTTGGAAGGGAAAAGGTGCGTGCCCCCAGGATTTCCTGGGTTCCCTTTCTAGGACGCAGAGGCCGGCTCGTCAATAGTTGAACAGAAAGAAGGAAAATGAATAAAATCATCTGTCTGAATGGTGAGATCCCCTGGGTTGCTCCCTAGTTTGTCTTTGGAAGGGGACCCAGGGAGGGAATGTATTAACTTCTTAGGTGACTGTGTGTGAAAGAGAATTGGTTAGGAGAGTGAATGGGAAGAGCTGGGTAGCTTCCCTTGTACATCAAAAGGAAGGGAGGAGGGCTTATGCTTAAAGAGCCCTCCAGGCAAATAAACAAGGCTGTTTTCTGAAACAGAACCCTGGCACCCCACCCTTTGTCTTGCATTGCATCAGGGGACAAGGGAATATCTAATAGTTATGGGAAATGCTGATGCCAAACCAACTGTTCTGAAGTGCATAATTAAAAATTTTGATACAGATTTTGTGGGGGACTATAAGATAAAACTGCAACCAAAGATGCTTAAAAACTTTGTGAGTTATCATGGTCTCAGCTAAGCCAGACTTGGCCCCAAAGGAAAAAAAAAAAAAAACTCTAGACAAAAGAAAAGTTATCTGCCTTTGTTTTACTTACCTGAGACTTTGATAATGTGGAGCCTCTTGTGCTCTAGGAGCTACTCAAGCTTTTCTGCTCTGTGGTAATCAGCTGCTAGTAAGAACTATTTAGTTTTGTTTGTAAAACACCTGCTTGCTAAATCTGCCATTTTCCTGTGGTAAACTTGTCTCTCAGAAAATGTGACATCGTTACAGGCAAATCCCAGTGTTTCCCCTTTGGAGGAGGTCGAGATGTCTCCCCTCCACTTGAGTTGCTAAGATAGAAGGTATGAAGGAGGTAAGGGTAGAACAAAGTTGTTTAACCTTACTGCACTGGAGGATGCAAATGGGAAAGCATGATGGGACTCAGAAAAAAGATGAAACAGGGCTTACACTCAGATTAACAGAACTAAAATGAGAAAATCTCTAATGGATTAAAATCAGGTAGGAAAATTCTGAAAGACAAAAATATAAGGAAAAAAAAACTGCAAGCCAGAGAAACTGCAATTGTGTTTTGGCAGACATCAAGAGATTTTTACAACAAAAATCAAGTTAGAAAATTTTAACTATTTGATAAATGTATCTTTGTTTCAATTAAAATTAAGTTTAATTGGTGTGCTTTAAACATTTATTGTGCATTGCAAATTTTTGAATTTCAATTATAGGGTTAACTTGGTCTTTTATACTTTGTTGATAAAAACTCAAGGTTAATACTGTTCTATAGATAGCCAGTCAAATTTTAAGATGTAACAATCTTGAAAAAAAAAAAGAACACTTTAAGATTTTAATAGCTGAAGTTTGCTATAGAAGGTTAATAGTAAATGAGACAGAAGAAGATAGTAGAAAAGCTATGGGTAAAAGAAATACACTTTTGATATGAAAAGATTTTGTATGTTTGTCTTGTTAGAAAGATATAAAGAAAGATATACAAGACCAGAAGGCTTAAGTATGTAGAGAAGGTATGTGGAAGTGATTTAACAAAATTATATATATTTGCTTGTTGGTTTCAAGTTTGTTACAGAAGGTTTACTTTTATAATAACAGAGCTTTCATTCCTTTTGATTCTAATTCTATGAGATCTGTTAATTGATCTACCAAAGTTTTGACTAGTGTTAACTAAAAGAGGTTAGGGCTGGAGATTTATTTAGCTCAATGGTGCTGCCACCTGCCTTATAATTCAATTGGTCAAAATACATTTGAGTGTATTATAGTTTCACAAATTGTCTTACAAGTTTGTGTCTGTACAATTGTTTGAAAGGTATTTGTCCAATTATACTAGATTGAAATGACAGCAAGGATACTAATAATTTGTTAATTCCTATAACCTGGTTTTATAAGTTAAAATTTTGTCAAGATAATTAGGTATAAACTCAGATCTAGATAAACTGTTAATAGTAAAAAAGACAGCTACTCAGAGAAAATTTATTCTGGTCTATTCACTAATGCCTTCTGAAAAGATATACCCCCAGTAAACATGGCCAAATATGTTGTTATAGAATGTTTACATTGGTTATCATCAAAGGGTTAAATTCTAGATATGCTATTGTGTTATGTTTATAGTGCCCAATTTTCAAAATAGGATTTCTGTAGAAAAAGTTATTAAGAGGTTCTATAAAAATGCTTTTGATACCTAATTAGATTAAAGGTTATGAAGTTTCATACATAAAATTATGATTATTGTTAATTTTTGGATGTACTAAATAGGATATTGAGAGAGTATTAATGCTGCTTCAAGAGGCAGGATATAAAGTTTGTGCTGCTTAGAGATAAAAGGACTTAAATTAAAACATAAAAAATTTTTGAGATAAAAGGTTTTTACAGGATCTAGATTCTCTATATGTATAAATCTTTAAAGGCCCCAGAAAGACAGTGATTATTATAGAGTAAAGAGCAAGAGTCAGCATTTAAACAGCTAAAACTAACTCTTTCTGCTGCCCCCCTGTATCAGGGATCCTAAATGTGATCCAGCCTTTTAGTTTGTACCTGACTAAAAGAAATCATACTGCTTTAGGGGTGCTCCTTGACGGAATAGGGCCATAGAATTAACCAGTGATATATTTATCTTAGAGTTTAGATCCAGCTGTGAAGAGATAGTTCCTTTGTTTATAAAGCCCTGGCAGCTGCAGTAATGGCTAATTGAGAAAGCTGACCAGATAACATTAGGAAAAAGTAAATTATTCAGTTTTCCCATGCCTTTTAGAACTATTGAATAACAGGACATTGATGGCTCTCAAATAATAGAGTCACATAATATCAGGCCCTCATCTGTGAAAATTCCCCCCCTTATATTTTGCTCCAGCTAAAACCTTAAACCCTGCTACTTTTTTGCCCTCGGAACCTGGCCCCCTGACCACGACTGCCTCAGGGTCACTGACGAATTGTTATCCAGTCATCTAGATCTGCAGAAAAGA